TTCACTTTTATAATTTACTGTTCACGTGAACATTAGAGAATGATTTCACTATTTATAGTTGAATCAAATTCGATCCAAACTTAAATGTATTAGTTTGTTCATTTTTGCAATTCACTCTTTATTGTTCATGTAAACATTAGATAACGGCTCCACTATTCATGGTTGGATCAGGTCCGACCCAAACCTAAATGTATTGAACTGGGTCCGACTCAGTAAAAAAAATTTAATTTTTATTTTAATTTTTATTTTTAATTGTGTGTTATTCAAAAAACTAATATTTAACATTATTCAATGGCACTACATAAATTAAAAAGAAATCGCATGATGATGTAATATTTGCATAATTTAATTATAATTTTAATTTTATTTCTGATGATATTTTACCTGATATTATTGCACGCTTAAGAAACCATAGAAACTGTAGTCATTGTCAGTTGGATTTCATATGTGATGTAATTATAGATAGTTTAATCGAACAATAAAATATTTTATATATAATATCGTTTATTTCATGATGTAATAGCAATATTTAAATTAAAAATTATCAATATATATATTAGTTATTTTATAACCTCAATTTGAAAAGTATTTTTAACCAAACATATATAAATATCATATTAACCTGAATTAAAAGTAATTTTTATAAAATAATTTTTTTAAAATTATAACTATAAAAGCTACCATGATATCAAATATACTTTTCATATCTACTGGAGTCAGCTTGATAAATTTTAAATGCATTTCCTCTTAATTTTGGGTGATATCAACTGTAATGAGTAGCAACAGCATAATGTTTATGTTCATACAAGATTTCTTTACTTGTTCGCCTTATACTCTTCAGTTTCATGGCACATTCGCTCCTCAGATGGTATGAGTGGGAATTTGGTATTAGCACTACCTTCCTTCTGATCTCTGCTAGGAAAAAGCTCTGCTGCCCTTTGAGTTCTGACTTCAACAAATTCTACCTTACCAGTTGAGGACTTAAACTTGAATGCTGTTGAGCGTTCAAGGGGCGTCCCTTATTTGGCCATTGGTAAACATCTCTGTGGGCCTGCAACTGGTGAGCGATATGTTTTAATATTTCCTTTCCCCAAACATTAAATAGGACTGAAAAGTATTACTTTTTTTTAATTTATCATTTTTTCCTCATTTTTGGTAGAGATTTGTTCCATTAAACATCTTCCTCTGTCATGTTGTTTTAATATTTGTGCTGCAGATTTGACACCGAGGTGTTGCCTGTCTAGCAATGGAGTCAAGATAGCATGCAAGATTGCAGGAGCAATTGTAACCTTAAAGGCCTTGCAATAGCAACATGCTGTCATCATCTTTGTCAGTGGAAACATTACACAAGTAATTAACATACCTTACCCTGCATACTCTTACATGCAGTTTAAGCATACATGTGCATTTTTCTATTCATGAGCTTTAAATTTAACTTTCGTCGCCTTGCAGACAGAAAGTTCATGTCCGAGTCCGGGATCACCAAGGAACAATTTCATGCAATGACATGGTGGTTCACTAGCTGGGCAGTAGATGCTGATCACGGTTCAGATCTTTCTGATTTTATTGATTGCAGATTGCATTCACAATCCAAGCAATCTCTTTGAACATTTTGATGCTCCTGATTCTCTTCCCGTAAATGGTTCTCTCTTCCCACTCTTCTGTATAAGTATTTCGGTAGGAACCTGTGAGGATCCACATCATTTGATGGACCAGCAACCAAATCCAGAGCGGATCACATTATGAAGAGTGACGAACATCCCCAAAGCTTGAGAATGCTGTGACTTGGATAAAACCAGTGCAGGATTTTAATTCCTTAATTATCAGGGTTGCTTTAAGTATGTCGGAAAAGAAAAGGAATAAAAAAATAAGAGAGATAAAGCATTGAATTAACATAATTGAAAACGTGGCACGTGGAGATGCGGGGGATCGAACCCCGTGCCTCTCGCATGCAAAGCGAGCGCTCTACCATTTGAGCTACATCCCCGGTTGTCGTTGTTTCCAATATTACATTACTAGTAATAATAAAAAAGTACTGTCGTAAACGGAGGAAGGAAACTCAACCCCATTCACCACTTCCTTTCTTACGTGTGCATGTTATCCTACTTCAAACTCGCGACTTTCCATATATTAAAAACAGTATGCACAGTTAATAATTCAATACGCCGGGGAGGGGTTCGCCGCCGCTTATACCAACCACTTCTCCCTTTTCTGTTTCCCACTCTGCTCTCATTTATAATGAATCCAATCCAGAGACATCATTACCATCATGACCACCACCACTACTACCTCATTACGACATTTTCTCCACCCTCAAACTTAACCAACCATCACTCCCTCCACCTAACTCCAGATGACTAACATTCCATACCCACTTCCATCAACGTCCAACGATCAATTCACCAACCTGCCCATGTCATCTCATCGTTTTTATCTCCAAACCATCCGCTTCCCCAAGAATTAACCAAGCCCGCCCCCGCCCCCATCCATATTCCATTCCCTTTTCCAGATCTTTAGAAAATGGAGAGTTTGATGAAAAGAATGAGAGTTCTGGTGTGAAGTGCAAGAAGCTGAGAATTATATGGATGATGGACCAAAGAAAGAAGAGGAGGGTGATATTGAGAAAGTTGACGAGGAAAAGGAGACTGAATCCAAGAAAATGAAGATTAAGGAGGGTTTTCATGTGTGGTAATTCTTTAACAAACATAAGCTTATCTGGTTGTGCAAGCTTCAGAAAATCACCAAGGAGGAGAGGAGCACTTTGTACAAGAGCTTGACCAATGTTTGGGAGGGTTATTTAATTGTTAAAAACTTTTCTCTCAAGGGTCATATGAAGTTCAAGGCTATTCTTCTTGCGCCAAAAAAGAACTCCATTTGATGGCAATAGTCAATATCAACTTTTCCATAATATTTTGATATCTACAGAAATGAGGTTTCCACAAGGTGCAGCATTGGAAGAGTTGCATCCAAACTATGAGGATATGTATAATGCTGAAACCCTGTTGACTGATTAACATTCAAGGAGTTCTTCAATCACAGGTTTTTGGGGGAGCCAAGACTAATGGTTGATGCTAAATCTCCTCTACTTCCACAAATGAAATTAGTATTTTGATATGTCTGCTAATGATAAAAGGTCTCAATAGGAGCATTGCTTGCACCCAGCTACCAAAAATGCAATATTAACTGGCTCATATGAACATGACAACTTAACAGTGTTAACAAAGGTCCATGATAGTACATCCATAAATTACAGTGTTCATGAGATTATGCCTACTATTGTGCATGATAGGATGCGGAGATCTGTTGGTGGTAGCCAATCTTCATTGATAAACTTTGAGCTGTTGATTTAATGGAGTTTGTCTTAACTCAATTTTAAACCTTTTTTTTGTATCATCCATTTCATTGGATTCTTTAAAAGAAAATTTATTTTTAAACCTTGTTTCTTGTTTATTTGATAAAAAATAATTTTTTAAAAATAATTTTTTAAAATTTTTCTGTATTTATTTATCATTAGAAAAGTTAATCAACTAAAAATATTTTCCTGTCAAAAAAAAAATTAACTTAATTTTTAGAAAAGTATTTCCTTTTTATTTTGGATGGAAAACACTTTCCGGAAGTTGTTAAAAATTTAAAAATATCACATTATTTGTTGATTATATCAAATTTGGTTTTCAAACTTTTAATTGCTATATTTTTTTTAATTTCATCTCTTATAATTTAATTTTTATATTAACTTTAAACCTTATTTTTATAATTGTTTTTTTTTTCTTATCAATTTTTAATTGAAATTTTTTATTTATCAAATTTAGTACTTATTTTTTTTATTGTTACTTATTTTATTTGATATAATTGATAAAATGATAATTATTATCATTTTAATTTCTTTATTTTTCATTTTTTTTTATTTGTTAGTTTTAATCTTTATTTGGCTAAAAAATATTCTCAAACTCAATTTTTTTACTACTATCGCTGCTGTAGGAAGTTTACACATCTCCTTCCTCCAAAAGTCATTGAAAGTAAATTTTACCACTCAATCATAAACACAATTTCACAGACACCACTTTACTTATTACTTCATCCGAACAATTAAAATTATTTCTGCTTTCTTCATTCGTGATGTCTATGAACAATTTCTGATATCAACTGTGTGCGATGGACAAACCCATCTCAATAACATTATCGGTAACAAAAGCTGATCACCTTATCGGTGAAGTGAATTCAAAAATGGCATCACGTTGCAAAACCACAGCAACCAAAGGAGCTTGCCAGAATCCATTCCATCTCTATTGTGCGTTTGTTTAATACCCGTCCCTCTTATTTACTATACTGAAATACTGTTCATGAAAATAGCTTTTGTCCCCCACCTTTTCGCCAGGCTCCACGCACAGGTCCTGAATTACCATTATCATCTATCCTGTTTTCCCCCGTGTCGTGAGGATCAGGATCAGAGTTTTGGAGATCCAAAAGGGCTGCCATTGAACCATCACCTAGCCTCACTCTATGAAACTTGGAGGTTTTCTTCCGTTGCTTCTCATTACCCCCATCTTTTATATTTTTACTAGATAAAGAATCATTTTGGATTCTTGGTTCCATTTGCAACTCATTATGAATGACATTTGACTTGCCTCTGGCAGTCCGATACCCATCCTTCGATAGCTGCAGCTCTTCTTCCACAGGCTTGTAATTTGACTGCAGAGCCCGAACAGAGTTAATAAAGCTATCCGCCAACCTATCCTTTGAACTGCTATCTTCAACGGCTATTCCCTTGCCTTTCTTAGTAGATCCATTAGAGCCTTTTAAATGGGTACTACCACGGCCCCAACCATTATCTTTCTTCCCATTGCTTCTCAAACTAGCATTGTAGGTTTCAACAAGCTCTTTCTGCTTCTGAGCATCAGGACACAGTCTAGCCAACTCAAGAATTAAATGTGACAGGCCAAATTGCTGCACATAATCCAGGTACTCTCCTGTGCCAATTGAACCCTGACGATACTGTCCAGATATATCTTTAAAAAGAGCATATCTATCCTCGTCATTTTCAAGAGCAGCACGTATCCTTTCCACCAATGACTTGTTTGCAGTTTGAACATCTTCCACATTCAGCACACCCTGGTTACTGGAGGGCATCTTGTGCATCTGCACTGCAGAAACTGGAGGAAAATCTGAAATAGAGGGTTTCAATGATCCAGTCTCAGCAAGATTGGGGGCTGATGAAGAGTGGCTCATCCTACCTGTGCTGCCTGAGCTCCCCAACAAACCAGCTGGGAGATGCCCACGAACCACTAAGGGTCGGGCCTGAGACTGAGCCTGAATTGAACTTGCATAACTAGAGAGACCAGGTCCACCAGCAGAACTTCTTGAACTCAAAGGCAATGTATTTAATGCTGGCCTATATAGTGCTGGACTACTTGATGCATGCCCATGGCTTGCTGTAGGCCATTGCTGAGGTGAATTGATTAAAGTTGCATTTCTGTTGGCCTGGCGCCGGAGATGCGCTGCCATTGTATTATTAGGCAAACCTTCTGATTCATCTTTGGAGTTTTCTTGACCAGTGGTAGGAATCGTAAAGAGAGGAGGAAAGGAAGATTCTTGCAAAGTTGCATTCCTAGAAGAGTGTCCCAAGGCTTGAAGATATCTCGATGCCGTCTCAGGATCTGTAGTAGTTAATGATTCAAAAGGCTGAACTATTGGATCAATATCATTTGAATCTACATGATCAGAAATCACTTGCGCACTAGCTGATCGATCACGAGATGTGCTTTCAGAATTTGCTGTCTGCAGGCTAGCTTGAATGGCTATGGGGAGTTGGTTATCAGATTGATCACGACAGAATGTCCGTCCCCTTCCACGACGATTATCTTGTTCATTGCTTCGACGATATCGAAAGCTAGTTGGAATCTGATTCATGGAAATCAGCAAATGAATAACAAGAGAAACAAGCTGAAACATCCAAATAACTACAAAAGGTGCTCCTAAATGAGTGGAATCCAAAAAAGAACAAATGCTGGTCAGATATCATCAAATGAATAACAAGACAAACAGAGACATCCAAAATAACTACAAAAGGTGCCCATAAATGAGTGAACCATAAAGGAAGAAATGAGGCAGTCGGATATCATCTAGAAAGAACCACATCCTTTAATGATGGGTTCTAAAAGTAAAAACAACATGTACCTGGAGAGCAGCATTTCGCTGAGAACGAGACATATGTCCAGCATGTTCAATTGTATTATGTCTCTGAAACATAGAAACAATATTAAATTGACTTGAATTGATCCAGTAAGAGAGACCTAAATCAACAAAGACCCCCAACCCCAACCCTGCCCTGTGATCACACGAACAAAGAAATTTTAGATTGAACAGCATACATAAAGAAACCTAATCAATGGAGCTTTCTCAATCACCTTCAACTCTGCTTCAGTTTGGAAGACAATAAACTTTTTGGCAAGACATTCCTCATCATCACATAGAAAATGGTCTCGACGGAAGTGAATCTGTGACAGAAATTCACTTGTTTAGATAAATATTCTTAGTTAAAGAACACTTAAAAAAACATGTCAGCATGTTAATCTAAAACATTGAAATACATTTAAAAAAAAAATGTAAAGACCAACTTACCTCTAGATCATCATAATTCTTGTAATATTCATATTGTCCTGGATGCTGCCTGCATTGAACATTATAAAAAGTTATTTGAGATTATCTAAAAATACATACACCTTATGATATCACGTGTACAAACTATAGCATCTATTACCTCTGGCATAGATGACAGGTAAAGTGTTCGGTTGACATATGTGTGTACAACTCATTATCTCCATAGAATGGTTTTTTACAGAATTCACACATGGGATGTCCCATAAAGCCACCTCTTTCACTCTCACTCCCATCAACCTCGGAATCACCTGTGCTTATATGCTGATTCAACTGTGCTCTAGTGTATAGTTTTTGCTCACAAAGAAAAACCTGTTAAATCCAAAGGTTGTTACAAGCCAAAAAAAAAAGAAGGTAGATTGGTTTAAGATAACATTAGTAAACTGTCCAGGATAAAGTAGTTAGAGCCCCATGTAAATCAATTTGAAAATTACATTAGATAAGATGCCCAAATAACAAGAAAAAATGCCAATAATAGCATTTTAAAAAAAAATGTGCACAAATTCTAAGCATTCTCAACTTGATTATACCTAAGAATAACTTTCAATGTCCAATCAATTCAAATATGAAAACACATGTCATACATGATAACAGTCACTAAGATTTTACCTTTCTTCCTTCCAAACATAGACTACACATATGCAATTTATGTTGATGAAATAAATGACCCTTCAGCTGATTAATATTCCTAAACTTCCCCCGGCGCTTGGATCCATCATTTGATTCCTCCTTGTCACATAAACTACATGACAGTTTGCACATGGCCTTTATCATTTTGTAATGGTCAACATCATCAAAAAATGCCTGTGTGTCCTCATGGTACCAGTAAGATCCTATTCGACCCTCCTTTGGTTCGGATGGCAAGACTGAAAAGTCATTAATCAACCTTGTATAATCTCCTAAAGCCTGCAAGAACAGCAAAATATAGAGCACTTTGTGTCATTTATCAATAAAAATATGAACAAAAGCAGTGAGGTGAATTGAAAAACCAAGTAGACATTACTTCTCAATACCACACCTTAAATGAATTAGATTTGAAACTACAACAAGAAATAAAAGTGCAAAAAGAAACTAAAAATGAATACCATTCACATTAAGCCCAAAATACAACAAAAGCGTTCTTGACCATATATTATTTTCTGAAAGCAAACACCATCTATCACATTCTGAATGATGAGTCCTTTGTTTTATAAATTGGAGCGCAGGGATGATTTGTGCCTAGCGAAATGATATTTGATATTGAATTTGACTATGAATCCGCTGACTCTACATTGCTTCAGCAATAATCCCTTTTAAAAAAAAACTAAATGATGTATGTACAAAATGCTTGTTTTCTACAAAATATACGGGGAAAACTACCTATGAGGTCCAGTCCCCTGGCAATAACCTTTTACTTTCAAGGAGCATGGATGTCTAGCTTCTTATATACCACTCTACATTTTCTTTTGTCATTATTCTTAACAGATAGCATTCGCTGCCACATAGCAAAAATGCTTGAAACAGTCCTGAAACTAGTGGATTTTGTCATAAATTCTTCTTTAGTGATGGAAAAGACCCTTGAATGTTCAAAAAATAGCTGCTTAACTATTACTACTTCCTAATAGGGTCTAAGAAAACAAAGAAGCTTCACATAGCTTGGTAAAGATTCAAAACCAGCTATCAATCAGGCCTCTACTTAAACTAACAGTTGCAAATTAGTCCATTTTGAGGCAACAGATTGCGCACTTGATTATTTAAAGCTGAAGAAAACAGCATAACTTCAGTGATTAGCAATTAACCACACCCATCATCAAACTCAAAACGAATTAGCAATCAAAACCAAACATAAGAAAAGGAATTTGAAAAGACAGGGTTAACCTTGGTGATAAAAACGACAGATGACTCGGTCTTGCAGATACAGCAGCGGCGATCGTCGCAGATGAAACGGAGCCGAGCCACGCACGTGGAGCAAACTTCACGATGGCCACACGCGCCGTAGGCAACCCATTCTAGAACCTCCGCGCACACTGCACAGCTATCGTCCATCTCCCTCTCTTTCAAAACTCACAAAAAACACCAGAAAAAAGACAAATAAAAATCGATCGCCGGGAGAGAAACAGAGATTGGAGGTTACGAGGAGAGATCTAGGGTTGAGGGTGGTGAGTTGAGAAAAATAAAATAAAATTAGGTACCAAAGTTTTGTATGTCCCTAGAAGAAGTGTTTTGGTTTGAGGATTTTTTGGAGAATCCTGTGCAATTCAGGGCACCGCAGGAGTCCTGATCCAACGAGGGCAATCTTGTAACTTTATGTTTTTCCTTCTTGGTGTATTAAAAAAGGATGCCCTGCCAACCATTGAAGGGAAGGCAAAACTTACTTCCCAAGTATTGGATTGGATTGGATTGGGTCTCAGTCCACGGGGCCCAGCAGCCACAACTTGTTCGGCACGCGGTAAACAATAATTTCTACTTTCCTTTCCCCTTTAAAAAAGAAAATGGTGTTGCTGCTAAATTTGTGAAGTACATGCCACGTAAACAATAATTTCTTGGCAATTTGTTTTTTTTTAGAAACATTTATAATCGGGTAAGCTTAAGAATTTTTATAAGGATTCGTGCCTTTGGAGGTCCATTATTTTGCATGCTTTCTGGAAGCAATACATTTAGTAGCTAACTAGGTCATGCGCCGGAAGTTGCATTAATTTTTTTTTTAACATATATAAATTATCCAATTGATAACATGTTTTTTAATAAAATAATTTTTAAATATAATACATAGTGATAATTCTAAAACATTAATCCAATAATATAAAAAATATTAATACAATAATAATAACATATTAGATTAACTTAGATAAATCTATCAAATATATAATTTGAATAATAAAATCATGATAATAAAAAATAAATCAAAATAAATTATAAATATCAATTTCTAATCAATTTTTTTAATTAAATAATAAAATTAAATTAAAAATAACTATTTGAACTAACATATTAAATTTGTAATTTAAATCATAAAATTAAGATATTCTGATAAAAAATAAAAAAAATTATAATTTTCAACTAAATGTTAAAGGATAAATAGAAAAAATAATTTAAAAAATAAAAAATTAATTCAATTGAGATAAGTTTATAAAAAATAAATAAATAATATAAAAATTTTATTTTTAATTAATTCAATATTAAAAATTAAAATGAAGAAAAATAAATAAATTCTTGCGAGTTAAAAAGTACTACGTGTAAGCACCATTTATCAGCACCCACAAAAACTCAATAACATGGAAAACACATATTCAGTGAGATTCTGCAAAGGCTACGCTTGCCCAGATAGGATTGACTCCATGGTGATTTCATACAAGAGACTATTCGTCTATAAACATGCAGCGATCAGTCACAACAGATTCTTTCAGATTAGATTTCTCCCTTGAATCACCGCAATGATACTTAATCACAGGACTGATAAAACCCTTCTGCGCAGTGCCCATTACAATAAAGAGGTTTCTTCAAGTTAACCCATTCATCTCCTCTTGCCCCTTTGGCCCCCCTCCAAAAACACATCACCCCTTCTGGAGAAGCAACACGGAGAAAGATATTCTCAGAGGCAAGGCAGAAAACTGAAAACCTATCTCATCAGGCCATCATCGCTTCCCATGGATGCCATATTGGACATCAGAGGACAGAAATATAACAACAAAAAACGAGCCACTTAGTTTTAGTACGATTGACCATTTTGTTACTTATAAAAGTGTTTCAACTCCAGTTATCTGCGGGTTACAGTGGGTTCTAAATGCAGCGACCCCCTGTAAAGCTACCAGGCCCATCGAATCATCTATATTCACCTTGTTCAGAAGACTAACTAGTGTGATGCCCCAAGTCTCCTATGTGGTGTGCACAAAGGAGGCCCTTGCCATGTAACTTTGTGCGCTAATTCTGAAAGCAACTTTAAAGAGCACCTTTCATAATTGGCCTGTGTCTAGAACTTCGAATGTGTGGAAGCCTAAATCAATGCATGGAACCCTGCTCAAAGGCTGATATGCACAAGATCGAGCATGGAACCCCGCTCTGCAGGTTGAAGTTAAGAGCGCTGATCTACTCCCCAATCTGTCCATCAATGCCAATCATTCCGATAGGTTATTTACATACTGGAACTAGAAATTATACTATAATATCAATGATGACTAAGAGAATCCCGGTTATCAACTCAATGTTGTTTTTTTTTTTTGGGAGAATCAAGTGCCAAATAAAAACCATCCTGGTTTATCAATTCAATACTTGAAACAAAAGAATAAAAAAAAAAAAAAGGCATTATCTCAAGTTCTCAACTAGGTCAATAACACATCCCGCAATCAACTTCCAAAATGTCAATAAAAATTCAAGTTGGACAGGTTCCCACAAAATAAATAATAGTGTGAATCACCAAACAGCAAGAAACCAGCATATAATAAAGATAAGCCAGAGCTGAAACGAAAATAAAAGCTGAAAATTTTAGATATAGTAAGAAAACATTATTATATATAATTGCGCACAGAAAAGAAAAACAAGAAGAAGAAGAAGAAGACCGCAGCAAAAGTTACGGAAGGAATTAAAGGTAAAAACAATGGGACTTACGGGAATCCGAAGGAGGTACTTAGCAATAATGTCTTGTGATTCTTCTAGTCTTTTTTCTGTAAATAATTAAGAGCATAGATATTAGCTAAAAAGAAAACAAGAACATTGAAAGGATGGGATCAAAATAATAATAAGATGGAAACGAACGAACCGAAAGTGAACTCATCCCCGAAAGACTTTCCCATTATTGTTGTTTTGCTTTTCACTCGATTACAGATAAATAAGATTGGAGCGTGTTTGGTATTATAGTAGTTATTAAAATAATTGTGATTTTAAAAAAATTATTTTATATAAAATGTTGTTGATTAAAGTTGATTTAGTATTTATATATATTTGGTTAAAACTGTAGTTGAAATTGAGGTTGAACAAAAAATAATTTAATGTATTTGGTTAATAATACTTTTGAAATTAAAGTTATAAAATAATTTTAAAAATTATATATTAATACTGATGGTTTTTAATTTAAATATTACAAATGTAACTATTATTATTATATCATAAAATAAATAATACTTTATATAAAATATTTTTCATTGTTTCACTAAATTATCTACAATTTCATTACGTATGAAATTTATCCGATAAGAATTATAGTTTTTTTAGTTTCTTAAACACACGGCAACATCAAGTAAAATATAATTAGAAATAAAATTGGAATTACAATGAAATTCTGGAAATGTTATATTATCAAGCGATCTCTATCAAATTTAAATAGTATCATTGAATAATGTTAGACACTAGTTTTTCGAATAAAATATAATTAAAAAAATTAAAAATTATTTTTATTTTTTATTTTACTGAGTTCGACCTAGTTCAATACATGTTGAGTTTTGAATCAAACCAAGTCTAACCAAAACTGGTTCAATCAAAATAATATAGCATGCAACCATCTAGGTGGTAGCCAAGTGATAAGAACTTGGAATCAAGGGATTTGCTCCCTCTGTGGTCTCAGGTTCGAGTCCTTGGTTGCTCATATGATAGCCACTGGAGGCTTACATGGTCGTTAACTTCAGGGCCCGTGGGATTAGTCATGGTGCGCGCAAGCTGGCCCGGACACCCACGTTAATCTAAAAATAAAAAATAAAAAAAAAAAAAAATATAGCATGCTGCATTGTTTGCACTATTCAGTGTAATGAGCATATATTGTGCATGTGCATGAAAAGCAAGAATTCTTTATATTTTTTCTCTATATTTTGGATAAAAAATAATATGAAATCCATAAATAATAAATCTTGTTTTTTTTTTAATGGTTATCAAACAGCTAAAATCTGCAATGGATTCGTAAACAAACGCCTCAAAGATGAGGAGGATAAAGCAGCTAGGATGATAATATATGATATATATGGCCCGACATAAGACCCCGAAAGAAACAGTCCATGCTATTTGTTAAGAAAGACTACTTATTTTTAATAAAGTAACTTTAACAATATAACAAAAGCAGCCACCTAGCGGGGATAGCTCAGTTGGGAGAGCGTCAGACTGAAGATCTGAAGGTCGCGTGTTCGATCCACGCTCACCGCATGTTCTCCTTGCCAGAGCACTTTTTAAGTACTCTTCATCTAAGAAAATTAATTTTTTTATTTATTTTAATATTAAAAAAAACCCGGCCAACAGGCCACAACACCCTCAGCTTTTTTATAATTAAAACAAGTCAGTTTACGGTTTGTGCACAGGCACAAGCACAGCAGCAGTCATGGAAGAGCAGCAGAAACAGACCAAGTGGAAACTGGAGAGAGGACGATACCTAGGCGAAGTATCAGATCTCTCCGTCCTCCTCGCTGTTATTTTCTTTGTTTTTGTTTTATTTTTTAACTCACAGCTCTCTCTCTCTCATTACAGTCTCAATTCTGTGTATTTGTCACATTGTATTTTTTAACTCCCCCCTTCACTTCATTACAGTCTCAATTCTGTGTATTTGTCACATTGTTTCTTCTGTGAATTTAAAACAGGCACAGGATCGCAGATCCATCCTTTAAAGATTTTGATGGAATTCGTATCCATGGACTTACTTGTAGCTTCAACGAAGAACGATCATCGCCTTTTCCTTCTTCAACTGTTTCTTTCAAACTCGCTGCCTTGAAAAAACGAGTCAAAATTTTCAACTTACACATTTTAAAAAATATAATTCGATTTGTTTTTTTGTTTTAAAAATATTTTTAGAAAATTTAAATTTTATTTATTTTTTATTAAATTTTTTATATTATTTTGATATATTAATTTTAAAATAATTTTCTAAAAATAAAAAAAAATATTTTTTTAATTTTTTTTAAATAAAAAAATATTTTAGAAAATAACCAGTTTGAAATACTCTTTCACCTTTAATTCATTGCGTACCTAATTTCACAATTAGGTTAGTGATGTTTCATTCCTTAATATAATTAATTTATTTTAAAAATATCAATAAATTTATTTTTGAATCTAAAACATTTTTTAATCACTTTTAAAAAAAATTAAATTAATAAAAAAAATTTGAACCCTAATTAATTTTTTTATATAATGAAAGGATAATATCATCTCCATTGAACTATCTTCAAGAAGATGAATTTATTAAAACTAAGATTAGCTTTTTGTGCCCAAAACATGGCCATCGTATCATTTTTCTTCTCCTCAATATTTTCTAGAGATTTTCTCTTGTTTCTCAATATTTAGAGGGTTAAAATATAAAAAGAAAAAAAAAGTAATTTTTTTTAATATTCAAAAA